CTTTGTTGTCTAGTGAGAGCACCTGCCACCTGAGTTGGGTGGGTGTCATTGCAAGTCCACTATTTGGCTGTCTCTTGAGGCTGGGAATTCATCTTGTTTTGATAGTAGATCAGAGGCCTTTATCTTAGATATGAATGACCTGGGGACTATAGTACATGTTAGATTATTAGTTGGTGCTTTATCATTAAAGTTCAGTCTATTGAAGTCGGTATAATATTCACTTAAAAAAAAAGATACTGTTACTATGCATTTCTGCAGTTTAAAATTGATGAAGTCCTTTTACATTTTTTGGTTAATGGCTCCATTTTATTTTCGCACTCGACTTTTCATTTCAAAGCAATTTGTGTTGTAAGGCCCTCTTAGTTGCAAGGATCTAACTCAAGCTTGCTAAAGTATGAAGGGGAATATACTGGTTCATAGTCTAGGTGGTCCAGGGATGGAGCTGAGTCGACACTGTCAAGACTGTGTCTCTCCATTCCTCATCTTTCTTTGTCTCTGTGTGGCCTCATTCTCAGAGTGATCATCTTGGGGACTCATATTACCCCTCTAGAAACCCCATATGTTGGTCTCCAGAAAAGTCTGTTTGGCCCTTCTTGAGTTTCCTCTGACCCAGGGCTTTTGGGCAGAGACGTGAGGTGCTTGAGATTGATCAGTTTATATCACAAATTCTTTGTGTCATGTCAGGGGACAGGGATTCTGACTGACAACCTCATTCCACACAGCAGTATATAGTAGTCTAGAAGTTTCCCCAAGGAAGGGGGTGGAAGAACATTCTTATCAGAAACAGCTATAACTATCACACTTTTACTGCCAAATTTTCCAAGAGCAACTCAGAGTGACATAAAATGTTAATTTGCCATAAAAAAATGTATCCTTATGGATTCCATAATGCATCAAGTAATCCACATTTTATGTCCCTCTTTTGCCTTTATCTTTTCAAAGTGGGCAAAAAGGACAAAACCATTAAAAGAAAAAGGATTTCTTTTAAAGGAATCATTTTCTCTACTTCACTTCAAATATTGTCTTAGCCTCTCTTTGGCTCTCCTAAAGAACTCCTCACATGGACTTGTAGTTATCATTTGACTCCTCAGTCTGTGCCAACTGTGATAAACCCTTTTGTGCAGCAACTAACATTTGATTTCTGTTCCAGCTGAGCTTTCCATAGGACTTGGCCAGACACAGATGTTTAGAGAAAGTATGCGGAAAGAATTGGTGGGTGGGTCCATGGCACCTGCCCGCCTGGCTGGAAGAGCAAGCCTCAGAAGACTTGGGAAGCTGAGGTCACACAACTAATTCCTAATTGTGTTGAATTAGGAATATGAACTTTGTTATCTTTCTATCCCCAATTTAGGCTTAAAAAAAATCTGTTTATCTAATCAAGGAGGCAGCATGTGAGCCAGTCCCAACTTTCAGTTCCCTGTCTGAAATTAGTAGCTGTGGTTTTTGGTTCTATGGTGGGGACAGGAAGGTGATCTTAGAATTTCTGGCAGCGTGGCTATTCTACCCTCCTGAGAGGAAGGCAGCTTCTAGAACTTCCCATGTGGCAGAAGTCAGACTGAGATGACCTGGGCCTTCCTACACCTCTTGTAACACCTGAACCGAATGGCAGGCAGGATGATGCCCCTACTTACTTGTACCTTGGCTTCTGTTCTCTCCTTCACCCTCCTCTTCCACTGGCCCTAGTTTCTTTCTCAGGGAGACAAAGCAACTTTAGCTCTCACTCTCCATGATCGGCTCCTCCATGCCTTGCCAACTCCAAACCCCACACCCTCTGTTGGACGGGAATTAATTAGGAACAAAGACACAAATTTCCAGATGAATGTGAAGGCTTACCCTTACTTTTCCTTCTTAAATACAAATGTGTCTGATAAATGTAAGTCTCTTTCCCATTAAAAAGTCGACCTCAGAGCTGGCAGTTTTGTATTCTGTAAGGTAGCTGTATCAATCAAGGTTTAACCAGAGAGGCAGAACTAGTAGGATATCTATATTCAGAGGTATATTGAAGGAATTCAATTGTGCAACTGGGGGCTGACTAGGAAAGACTGAAATGGCAGGCAGGCAGGGTTGGTTTGAGCTCTCAGTAATAGGCTGAAGCTGATGTCCACAGGGAGGGTGTCTTCTTCAGGGAAGCCTGAGCTTACCCCTTAAGTGAAGGCAGCCTGAGCTCACCCCTTCAGTGAGAGCTTCCCACTGACTGAATCAAGCTCACCCAGATTATCTAGGATAATTCCCCTTACTTCAAATTGCTGATCATGGGCTTTAATGACATCAACAAACACCTCTATGTGACAGGTAGATTCCTGTTTGATTGTATAACTGGGTGTGGTAGCTTAGCTGGGTAGACACATAAACAGACTGCCAGAGCGGCCTGTTGGAGGTCTAGTGGACACTTCGTGGACTTGCAAAATACAAGCTTTGTCCTACAAATTCCAAAGCCTCTACTGCCTTTATACTAAATTGTGTAGATTTTTTTTTAAGGATTGATTTTGGTGATTTAAACTTAGGTGAATGTACTTATGCGTGTGTTACTGTTTACTTCTTTTGGTCCTGTGTTGATTTAATAAACCGTAGGAGGTCTAGTAAGATCCAGTTGAATGCGGTAGTGAGCAGATAACGTGTATGAACCCTGATTTAGAAATGATTATTTTTATATATGTAATTTGTATTTTTCTTTCATTGCTAACTTCATTTCTTTCCATATATATTTATCAGACCCCCCTAACATGCCAGGAACTATTTTAGGCTCTCAGGGTACTTCCTTGAATAAAGTGGCTTCTATTCCCATGGCTCTTACATCTGTTTGGGAGACAATAAAATAAATAAAAAGCTACATAATTTTATAGAGTAGTGGTAAGTAGTGATAAGTGATAAGAATAATAAAGCAGAGAAGGGGACTAGACAGTGAGGAATGTGTGTACACAGAGCTAGTTACACGCCTCATGAGGCCCCGTGTGATGTGAAAATGCAGTGATCCCTCTCCAAAAAATCAGGAAGAAAAAGTGCCACTCAAGGTACTAAGACTTAAAAACCTTTTCCTTTTTTCTTGAATCATTTTCTGGAGAAGTCATGGTGTTTTTAAAATTGCCATTATTTGCTATTTAGTGCTGTTCTAAGCAAAGAAAAATTAAAAAATTAGATTCTGTGCTGGAATTTATATTGTGCAGTGCTCACTTTAAATGCAAATGTGAGAATAAAATCATGGAAATTACACAATTTGCATTTTCTAGTTCTTACTGTATTTTGTGTTAAATCAGAACAGCAAAAACGCTGCACAAAATGAGCTTACCTGTCATCCTTTTGCTTCTTGATGCCTGCATGTTCTCCCAGCACTTCTCCTTCAGCTTCCTGGTGACAAGGGAGGACCCAGAAGAGCTCTGGTTGTCCTGACTTTCTGCTTTTTTCTAAGTCATCATTTTCAGCCCACGTGGTTTTCTCATATAGGGAGTAATACCAGTGGGAAAGGGTGTGATAGGATTTCTTGATCCCCCATGTGCATTGAACACAGCTGAATTCTTTGTGCATTTGAAGCATGTTCCGGTTCCAAAGTGTGGCCCTGGGGCTGTACAAGCCCCTGCTTACTGGGTCTTAGGCTTAATGTGCTTATCTCATACTCAACTTTGTCTTTTGTTGAATTCCTGCATATTTTGAAACAATCAGAATTCTGTCTTCATGGGGCATCACTGAGGCTCTGTTAAAATGGTGCTGAGGATGGGGGATGTACACATGATATACGTCTTCTCTACTCAAGCACGTGCTCCACTGTACCACCCAACACCACTCACAAAACACGGGTTCAAGGATAAAATTATTATTTCATAATAAGGACATTAAACCAAATATTTTCAACCAAGCATGGAGCCCTTCTTGGGGTGGGACCATCCTGAGCGTGGGGCCCTGTGTGATTGCACAGACTGCACACTCATGAAGCCAGGTGTGTGTCTATGTCTGTGTGTCTGTGTGTGTATGTGTGTGTATATGCTGTTTTAGATATTGATAAGGATTGTATCATGAAGTGACCTTTGATCAGGGTCCTCAAGAAGGCAAAGAAGCAAGGCTTGTGGGTCCCTAGGCAGGAGAAGCGTATTCAGAGTCCCCTTAGGCACCTGTGTCCTTGGCTTTTATTCTCAGAAGAACAAGGAGGCTGCTACAGATGGATGCTTGAGTGAGAGGGTGAGGGATACAGGATGAAATCTAAGGGGCATGCATGACCTCAAAGGCCAAGGCCAGGTCTTGGAGGTTTCCTATGAGGAAATGGGAAGATGTGGCAGAGTTTGGACAGGGATGTAGCATGGCACAATTATGTTGTGGAAGGGTCTCTCTGGCCACTGTGTGGAAATACTCTGTGAGGAGATGAGATTGGAAGTGATGGGACTAGTTTGTGTATTGTGATAATAGACCAAGCAAGGAGGGGTCTTGGGCTGGGTGAAAAAGATAGCAGTGACTAACTATGGTTGGACCTGGGTGTCGTTCAAAACTAGTGCCAACAGGAGTTGCATATAGAATGGATATTTACCCAGGGTAAAATGGTCCATTGAAAAGTGAATTTCCTAGGGTTCTACAGCCAGTGTGGAAAAGAGCTGCGGAGATGCAGAGAACAGAACGCTTATGTCCTTGTTCGTCTGTTCCACTGGTTCCACAATATGTTTTCCCAAAATAACTTGTATAACATTCTCTTCCAAACATCTTTACTCGTGTGACTGTATCCACTTAGATTACACTGTCATAATTTCATCTGTATATAGCACTTTTGGACGAGCAGCTCAGAACATAAGGTCCTGGGTGAGCTGACTGTACCACTAGCCCAGATTTTCATAGTCCCTGCATGGGGACTGACCATCTCCCTCAGTTAATAGCTTTCTAGCTGCCACCCTTCATGTTACGGCCTCACCCACTAAAACAGAGTTAATAAGACAAACCCTTTGTTCCTGGGTTTTATGTACAATTGTACCATAGACAGGTGTGCAAGATTTAACTACATTTGACCTTTTTTTGCTTTTCAGCACTTTCAGACCATGCTGAAGTCTAAATTGAATGTCCTAACACTGAAGAAGGAGCCTCTCCCAGCCGTCATCTTCCATGAGCCGGAGGCTATTGAACTATGCACCACCACACCGCTGATGAAGACGAGGACCCACAGTGGCTGCAAGGTATGGGGGACATGGCCAGCAGGGGTTCTCATGGTGGGACAGGCTAAAAGGATGTGAGGCTTTGAGATCCGTGTTTTATGATGGTAACCATTTTTAAGAATGAAAATATAAAATGGCTAACAAAATAAGCTCATTGAATGATAGTAGTCTCAATTCATATGCAGTTTTACCGTGTTTCCCCCCGAATAAGACACTGTCTCATATTTATTTTTTTCTCAAGAAGACACACTAGGGCTTATTTTCAGGGGATGTCTTCCTCTCTGCCCCGAAATGCATGGCGTGGCTATGCAGATACACTGCTGCATAGCCACGCCCATCATTATCAGGGTAGGGCTTATATTTAACAAATGCATAGAAATCCTGCTAGGACTTATTTTTGGGGTAGGTCCTATTTTCTGGGAAACATGGTATTTTTCTTGATGACATTTCATTCTTCATCATTTTAGGGCACATACTAGAGACATAGGTTTTAGCATGTGCAAATAAAATAGTGTTCTTCCTGTATTTTCTATAAGCTCTATGGAACTTTAGGTATCACAAAAAAGTTTTATTCTTAATACTAGTTCCTCCCATTGTACTTGCAGTCTGAGTACAACATACTTTAGAGAATAAAAAAAAATCAATGAACCCCCCCCAACTTTTCCAACAATTATACTCTCTCAGTCCTTTGGGGGGTAATTTTGCGCTTTGCATTAGTTATCAAAGTTTATACTAACATTCATTTCTCAGAATCCATAAAAAAGCATTTTTCATTTCTGTAAACTGGAATGCCAACATTGAAACAAAGCTGGAAACGGAATGTATAATTTTGGTAAGATTTTTGGGTTGTTTCTCACATGATATTCATTTTTGCTTGAGTTGATGAATATAGTAATCAGTTTAGAGGTCCCAAAGAAAATATGTTTTATTCATATTTTGTTGTCAGAAATTTATTTCAAGTAGAGAATAAAACAAGGGGCAAAGAAAATGCAGGTTTGTGTCTGGATTTATTTTGTGACCTCGAAGGTACCGGCCTTTCCGTACTCTTCCCGGGTTCCCCCCTTTCCTTCTTGCCCAGTGTGAGGGGAGCGGATCTTGCATAGCTGTGGTTGGAGTGGAGCCTACAGCAATCTGGGTGTTGGTGGTATCCACGAAACCTCAGACATGTTCATTCATTCCACACATACTTACTGGGTGCTCAGTGTGAGGAAGACCCACCGGAATGTTATGGAATTCTACTGGAGAAAATGCAGGTAGCCAAGCATTGATTGGTGAGGAAGCCGGTTTGTGAAGATCTCCTGGAGGAATCTTCCAGGCAGAAAGAACAGGGCGTGCTAATTCCCTGAGGCAGGGATGGTGGGTTGTGGTATGTTTTAGAATGGGAAGGAATGGACCATGGACCTGAGAAGTAGAGAAAGTTCAATTGAGTGGTGGCGTCAGGCAGGAAAGTGCTCTGTGGTCATGGCAAGGAGTTAGACTTTGTTCTAATTATGATGAGGAGCCATTGGTGGGATTGGGTGATTGAGCCAGCCATTTGAAAAAGTGATTGTGCATGTTCTTCTTAGTAAAGTATCACATGAATGGAAAAGCAATATCCAACACACTCAATACTAATGTGAAGCAAGTAGACTCACTAACACACACCCACACAAGAGAAAAACTCAATTCAATTCTAGCTGGGAGCAGAGAGGAGGAGGGAGGGGGATTGGTACGCTCCCATCTAACAGGTGCAATGGAATGATATATGGCACACCTCTTGGCACAACCACAACAGGGACCTTACCCAACAAATGCAAACATTCTTACCTAATCATTTGTACTGTCATATTAATCTGAATTTTTATGTGTGTGTGTGTGATACAGAGTCTCACTATGTTGCCCTTAGTAGAGTGCTGTGGCATCACAGCTCACAGCAACCTCAAACTCTTGGGCTTAAGCAATTCTCTTGCCTCAGCCTCCCAGATAGCTAGGATTACAGGCACCTGCCACAATGCCTGGCTATTTTTTGGTTGCAGTTGTCATTATTGTTTAGCAAGCTCAAACCAGGCTCGAACCCACCAGCCTCAGTGTATGTAGCCAGTGCCATAACCACTGAGCTACGGCCACCACGCTTAACCTGAAATTTTTTAAAAAAGTGATTCTAAATGGTAACTCTGATAAATTCAACTTCTGCCTTCCCAAGAGCAGTTGCCAATGGCTCAGCTGTAATGGGAGAGAGTAAGTCAACAGGACTGGCCTCAGATTTATTGTATGTATTTTAGTGCTTTTGGTGAACTGATGATATAAAGGAATTATAAAAACACTCGTTACATTTGAAAGTGATCTGTGATCAAATTCTTTATACATTCTTTAGAAGATTAGCTAATGCTATTTTGAATTCTGTTTCTATTAGGGAAGATGGTGCCTCAAAGCAAGATGAAGTCAGTAGGGACAAGTACTAGGAAGAGAGCTGAGCATGATAAGGTCTACAGAGGTTGTTTAAAATGGAAAGAAAAACCACACAGTTACAGAATAAAGAGACCTAGAGATCTAACAGTTTAATCCAGATATTAAAAAGGGTGTGTGTGTGAGAGAGAGAAAATATTTGCTAGAATAAAAACCATCACTTGTCTGAAAAGGAGTACAGGGTTCACATTTCATGGTCCAGATTTTTCTGTGTACTGCCTTAGGTTGTGTTCATTTATTTTACTTCTTAAAAGGATGTGGAAAAAATAGTAGGAATTCAGAAGACCATGCCAAAGAGAGCAAGGGTTGCACTGGTGTCAGTACACGTGGTGAGCGAGACAAAGGGAAGTCGGCAATGATTCCAGTTGCATACAAGGCAGAACTCCTGCATTCAAGGTGAAAAACACATTCCATCGGGTTATACAAAATTTATGAACTCTCCTTCCCTAGAAATCATGAAGAGGCAATTCCAGGCATAGATAATCATAACCCTGGAGTCAGGGATCTGAGCCAAGGCCTCTTGAGGTCCTTTCCAGCAGTATCATTCTATGTGAAGGAAATAAACTTGCACCGTGTAATTCTCCAAATTGTATACTATCATCTTGATACACGTAAGTTATAACTGTAAGTGGGCTGGAGTTAGCATTCTTTAATTCTCAAGGACAGTATCAGGTTTGTGTTCAGAATCATATTCTTTTGCTCGAAACGTTAGAATTTTGAACCTTGACATTTTTGTTTGAAATCCCCCGACCACCTCTAATTTCTTCTGATCATCTTCAAGAACAAAGTCCAGTGTTTCCGCGCTGAGTCCTGTGAGTAACTTAGCTCACAAGATGCCAGCTGCAGAAGGCGCTCTCTCAGGCTCAGGCCTCCTGGGAATAATGAGCACAATGTAGCCCGTGCCCAGCTGCAAGGCCCATGCAGGACCCTCCGTCTTCACACACTGTGGTAGTTCTTTTTTCCTAACTGCTCTAATAACTTTGGGTTTGGGGAGGGAAAGAAGTGGGGAGGGGGGAGCAAAGGAAAGGGGGAATCGAAAGTGGGTTACGCCGAGTACTACGGAGACCCTTGCTCATCTCAGATTTCCCATTTGCCTCTGATCTGTATTCTTTGTGGGTCCTGACGGGACTGCCCGGCCAGGCTATTCATGTTTCGGGCAGCTGGGTCTTTGTGTGTTCTTCTCTATTGCTGCCACTTTTTTTCTGGAGTAGAGTTATTTAACCGAACAACCCACTGCATACCATTAGGACTCTTGTTGGAGCATCAGACGCTGTGTCCGATTTTTGCAGCAACATTGCTGGCTGGTTGCACCTCTCTCCTCCAGTCTAGCAGAGATTATGGGCGGCTTGTGCTTATTAGTAAATATGTGCTGAATGAGTAATCACCACAGACCTACTGTGTGCATGGAGCCAGGGACAAAGGAATCTAAGTAGGTGTTGTGGGTGACACAACATAGAACCAAGTAGAAAGAATAAAACAAGTGCCCAAATAAATAAATCACAAGTGCTTCTGAAATGTGTGTGAGTGTGGCATCCCCTGGCAGGCACTTTCTGGACCTTTTCCCTGGAGATTTTGATTCAAGCACTCAGTTTAGGAGTGAGACAGAGGAGCCTGCACTTGAAAATACATCCTGTAATTTACAGGAAGGTGAACCATGCTTGGAACTCAGAGATCTGAGCCACAGAGAGCAATGAGTGACATGAACGGGCATATCCCCTGGCAGGTGGGGGATGTGACAGAAAGTGGTATTAGGGG